CACCTTCCTAGAGGAGCTAAAAGACATCCTCCTGGACCGCCAACAACACCATCCTGGGCCCGCACATCAAATTTATGTGATCATTTGGGACAATGTACGCTTCCACAAAACAAACCAAATCAGAGAGTGGTTCACCACCAACAGTAACCACTTTTTAAACGTCTGTCTGCCACCCTACTCCCCTTTCCTGAACCCTATAGAGGAGTTCTTCTCATCATGGAGATGGAAGGTTTATGACAGACAACCATACACTAGAGAGAACCTCCTAAGGGCAATGGAGCTGGCCTGTGTTGACATCCCAGTGGAGGCCTTCCAAGGATGGATTCGCCATTCCAGGGCGTTTTTCCCGCGGTGCCTGGCAAGAGACAATATAGCCTGCGATGTGGATGAGGTGATGTGGCCCGATGCAGCTCAGCGACATGATGCCGCACAGTGATTGTGGTGTGTGTGTGTGTGATGTGAATAAAGTAAATAAAAAAACTTCACACCCTGATCATGTTTTCAAGAGTACTGTTGTGTGCAATAGATTCTGTTTTTGCATTGAGTTGTGTTACAGTAGTGTACATGCAGAATTTACTATAGATTTATACTCTTCATATGAAACTCTCAAATCTAAATGCCTAATCCTATGCAGAGATCTAAGAACATCCATTACTGTAAAGTTTCAAAAATATGCATTGGCAGTTATGAAACAAAGAACCTTCTCACAAATTGAGCATTGTGTTTTCAATTGTTTTGCTTTAGAAAAGGGTGTTGTGTTTAGACATTGGGGAACATGGAGGAAACGTTTGTGAAATGTGTTTTAGCATTTGAGAAAAACTGTAAAATAAACAAAATAGAGCCACGTCTGAGTATTTTAACACACAGAACAACACTCATGCACCAGGTCAAAAAGTGTATGTTAAACAAATTAAAAGCAAAGTAACTTCTAAACAAAGCTAATAAAATACAGTCATTGGTTACAGAGTTGAGCAGCTTTTTTCCCCTTCAAAGCAGATGTTTAAATTTGGCTTTAAAGATACTGCCATTACAGATAAGGCAACAGCTAAATGTTAAATAAAAGCTAGTTATTGCAATGATTCATGCATAAAAAATTATTTTTATTGGCACAAAGACAAATAATATAGGCTGCTGACTAAAATGAATTTAATTCTACTAATTATTATAATAGGCTTGTGTCTCTTTTCCACTTTCTGGAGAATTGGGAGTCATTCTCACAACTTAACTTTATCTGATTAACTTGTGACATATGGCCCAGAGCAAAGGGGGCCTTGTTTGTAGCTTGTAGCTGTCTACATGTCATTAGGTCCAAGCAAAAGAGGGAGGTGAGAGGTAGAGGTGGTGTGATTCATCCAGGTCCTGAGCAGTCCTCCTCACCTGCTGCATTCAAGTACTCGTGAGAAATTTCTAACTCCAAGTGTATTTGTTGCCTTTGTGTTGTAATGGCAGAAAATAAAATCCTGTAGGTCAAGCAACACTTAGCATAGGCCTTTAGGAGTTAAACACTGAACTCAGATTGTCATAGCTGCAAAGTGACTGGTTTATACACAGCTTTCAGTGTGCAAACTGGATTTACTCAATAATAACTGCAAGTAATTTGAAGGTTTTACAGTCTGTCTGGATTGTGGATTAATACTTCACAAGTGTGGGTATTATTATAGTTTATAAATAACAATCATTGTTCAAAGGGGATGCACCTAATGGTAAATGCTACGTGAAAGCCTCGCTGATAAAGATGGCCGTATTCTCGTCATAGTCAAAAGACCTCCAGCTATAACACATCACTAGAAATGACTGGTGTTACAGAGATGAGACATGTTTTTCTCTTAATTAAAATCTCCTAGAAAGACTCCCACAATTTCTATGCATATTCCACAATTATAAATAGACCTAGTAGCCTATTTAGTTGCTCTTGTGTAATTATTTTCAGAAAATTCAACATTTAGGCTTGTGGAAACATTCTTGAAGGCCAACCTTTTTTATCTGTAGGCTAAGTTTAATATAATAGTATTTATAATATTACTACAAAAGCTAAAGACGTGTTGTTGTAATAAATAAATCTGTTATTAGTAGTTGCTTACAAATAAATGTAAATGTGATTTTCTTTTTCTGTGAGCTCAGCGATAACTACCATATATGTCCTGCTGTATTGAAGGCAGCTCAGTCAAGTGGTGGCATTTATGCTGCAAGTGCAGCCAATCAGCATCAAACTAAACCCAATCAACCAGAATGAGACCGGAAGTTCATAAAGTTTGCTTTCAAAATAGAATTCTTTCTTTAAATAAAAGTATTTTAACGTGTTTAGAATATTGAATATTGAATAGAATACAGTTGTCATCGAAGGGGAAATTAGATATAGAGAGCACAACCGTTTTTGTACCAGGCTGTAAACATGTTTATTTCTGCTGTAAAGTTGGACAATTTAACGTGGGAGTCTGTGGGGACTGACTCCCTTTTGAAGCCATTAAGTGGCTGTTCAAGGAACTGCAGGTTGTTGTACTTCTGCATTGGCTTCGTTTCTCACCTTTGGAGGTTGCCACTTGGTTAAGGGAGACTAAGATGGATTACCAACTGTGACCATCTTTTCTAGGGCCACAGAACTGCAGGAGCCCCAGTGTTTCAGGTTTACTGCATGTCTGTTGGACTGGGTAGTTTGGTGAATTACAAATTTGTAGGGAAGATACACCAATACCCAAGAGGTGCCCTGCATTAGATGTAGAATTTATTTTGAAAACCAAGGCCGGAAGTGCCGTGGTTATTATTCCAAATAACTTGACAGTCGTGTGGGGCGATGCAGGGGACTTGAGGCCGCCGGGGAAGACCTTGCATTTCAAGGAATACAGTTAACCAAAAATGATGGTGGACGATTTGACAAACCAGATACAAAATACAAGCTTTACGGACCGGACCGTGTGTGTTTGGTAAATGGTCTTATACTTGTATAGCGCCTTTCTATGCTTTTACAGCACACTCAAAGCGCTTTCACATTATTCGGCCATTCACCCATTCGCACTCCCAAATTCACACACCGGTGACATCACCGGGAGCAACTGGGGGTTCACTGTCTTGCTCAAGGACCCCTCGACATGTTGACTGGACAAGCCGGGAATCGAACCACTAATCCTCCGGTTAGGAAACGACCCGCTCTACCTCCTGAGCCACAGCCTCCCGTTTGGAGCCACTCGGATTAAGTATCAGCTCCCTCATCCCCCGTTACAGGACGTGATTAGCTGACAACCCGACTTGCTAGCCCGCAGTACTTCCTACAATCTCCCCTCCAGAATCACGGATACCATTTTAATCGCATTACGAAAGCTAGCCAGCACCATACGGAACTGGACTGAGCATATGATACCCGATAGATTCCATTAAAGTAAAGGAATGACCTGCTAATACTCTACCGACCGCTAGGATCAAGCTAGCATCACTTGAAGTTGGATGGACTCGCGGCTCCCACAGCATCACTACCCGGGACGTGCTCCAGCCTGTTCTGGTGCACCGGAATGTTAACTAATGAGGAAGTGGCTTTAACATGACGAACAACGTTTTGGCTCTTAACTGCTCCAGCCTTGTAGGTGCTACACAGATGATTTTTAGATGCCAAATGTAAAGATGCCCCGAGCATGCACCATGAATGTGGCTGGCCGTGTCTGTCTCCAGCCCTGCGGATGACACCCACACAGGTAGCGGCGGCAGGGATACACCGTCGCCGGGTAGCGCTGGCAGACTTGACGTGAGCTTGCTAGCGCCAAGCATAGGCGACTAACAGTCCTGAAAACCCCAAACAAACACGAACTCCAATGGTATCCCATAGGGTTTTAGTCACAATAATCTTACTAAACGTGTATATAGGTGTACAGTCCGTTTTTTACTTGTTCGGCGGCGTCCTTTTAACCATTTTATTTGCTATGGCATTTTTAAATGGACCCAGGCTGCTGGACTGGGCGAGTTCACCTCCACATCTTCAGTTCAACAAATACGTTTTAACAGGATACCGACCGATCTCCTCTGTGCAGGACTGCATCAGAAGCCTGTTTTACCTGCACAATGAACTCGGAAACATATACACTCACGGTGAGTACAGAAACTCAGTCTGCAAGTGAGAATTCTGTAGCGTATGTGACTTTGTTAACACACATATAACGTTACAGGACTAATTGTAACGTACATGAGACCATTTGAGCTACAGTCACATAGATATCTGACATTTAAAACATTCAGATAATTTGGTTTCTTCCCTGCAAAAACAACAACAACAACAAACTAGAGAGTGATGGCAAGTTCTAAGTGTGATATACCCCCAGTGTATCAGTCATCAGTAGTGGACACCAGTGTTGGAGGACTTGAGTCCAGGACTTGGACTCCAGATTTTCAGGACTCGTGACTTGACATGGACTTGAGCACTGATGAATCGGACTTGTGTGTCGATTGTGTTTAATGTAGACATTGATGACTCTGGTAATGGGGACTAGATTACTCTTTAGTGACTAGGACTTGACTTGAACACTAGGACATCGAGACTACTTGGACACTAATTACATTACTAAAAGTACTGTACTTAAGTAGAGTTCCAACTCTGCTTAAGAACTACAAATTAAATGGAGACTATTTTGACAACTGAGTGATCATTTAAGTGTAAAATGGTCTTATACTTGTATAGCGCCTTTCTATGCTTTTTACAGCACACTCAAAGCACTTTCACATTATTCGGCCATTCACCCATTCGCACTCCCAAGCACTCACGCATCTACACACCGGTGACATCACCGGGAGCAAGTGTGTTTTCAAACAATGCAAAATTTGCTGGTACAAGGCCTCCGGGAGGAGGATTTGTTGCTCTTCTTGCCATGCCCGGCCCTAACCAATTTGGCGCCCTAGGCAAGATTTCAGGTGGCGCCCCGTTGCATCGCAGTAAATTCCACTGCTAGTGTATATACTCATAAGAAACGTAACAGCTTTGTCTTGGACATTCTTTTATTTAAATAAAGCAATTGCACATTCAAAATACTTAGAAAGAATTAAAGAAACAAATACAAAAAATTGAACTGAACATATGA